ATTAAATAATAATCAAAGAGAAATATTACGAAGAATTATGAGAATTAACCAACCTAAAAGAATGAGTATTACACATAAAAGAACAATTAATTATCAATTACCACAAATACAAAATACACCTAGAATAATAATAGATGAAATGCAAATACATTCTCATAGTGGTAATCCTTTAGGTCAAGCTATATATAATCCAGGTAAAAAAAATATATTATTAATATTATTAATATTAAAACAAATAACTAACTCCTTTAATAAATATGTTATAATATTGTTTATTCCATTCGATCTTGGTGAGTTTTGTTTATTTGTTTAATTAATAATTTAAAAAAATATAAAAAAGAAGCAAAAAAATCCATCTGCCAATCTCAAAACACATCATCACATATCAATGTCAAGTAAATATAAACCAGCAGAAAAAATTAAAAAAACATATGGAATTTCAACAAGTACACTCAGAAGATGGAATGATAAAGGAGATGTATTATGTATCACAATGCCAGGTGGAAAACGATTATACTCAACAGAAGATATTGACAACATATTCGGTAAAGAATCTAAAAAAAAAAAACGATTTGTTATGCATGAGTATCCAATGAAAATAAGAAAGATGATCTCGAAAGGCAGTGTGCATACCTCACTTCTGAATTTCCAGATCATAAAATCATTACCGATATCGGGTCAGGTCTCAATTGAAAATGACAAGGATTCATGTCCCTTTTGGAATGAGTATACACAGGAAATATTGAAAAAGTTGTGATCACCAGGAAAGATCGACTTTGTAGATTTGCATATGAACTTGTTGAATGGATCTTTTCAAAACATGAAGTCAAACTCATGGTACTCAATACAGATGTTGGATCAAACAATCCAGACACAGGAGAACTTGCAGAAGATCTATTATCTATTGTCACAATCTTCACAGCAAAACATAATGGACTCAAAGCTGCTGCGAACAAAAGAAAAAGAAAAGAAATTGAAAACAATAAAGATTCGAATTTACTCAACAATACAAGAAAAAGAAAAACTTATGAAATGGATGAACACAGCAAGATGGACTTATAAAAAAGCATTAGAATTAATAAAAAATGGAGAAGTGAGAATCAAAAAAAACTTGAGACAAAAATGTATTAATAATGAAAATTTTAGATATGAAAATACATGGGTATTAGAAACACCATATGATATTAGAAATGATATATTAATAGATTTACTTGATGCATATAATTCAAATTTCAAATCAAAGAGAAAAAAATTTAACATTAGATATAAGAGCAAGAAAGATAAACAATATTCGATAACTATACAATCTCGTGAATGGAATAGAAAAAGAGGAAATTATGCATTTCTTAAAAAGATTCGTACTTCAGAACAACTTCTAGAGATAAATAATGCTGTTAATCTAGTTTGTGATAAATTTAAAAGATTTTATATTTGTATACCCATTCCTATCGAAGAACAATATCATGAAAATGATGATTTCATCTCTATCGATCCTGGAATTAGAACTTTCATGACTGGATATGATCCAAAAGGAAAGATCTTTGAATGGGGTAAAGGAGATATCTCTCATATATATCGATTGTGTAAAAGATATGATAAATATCAGAATGAAAGATCTATGCTTAAAAGTGGATATTATAAACATAAGAGATACACATTGAAGAGAAAGATGTTGAAGATATATGATAAGATCAAGAATTTGATAAAGAATTGTCATCATAAGATAGTAAAAGAACTATGTGAAAATTACAATACTATCTTATTACCAAGATTTGAAACTCAGAATATGATTAGAAAAAAAACAAGACTCGAGAACCAAGAGTCTACTAAAAAGAATTTCAAGAGAAAGATCAGAAACAAGACTGCAAGAATGATGTTGACCATGTCACATTATAAGTTTCAACAACATATTATACATAAGATACGAGAATATCCAAGAAGATTGTTGATATTATGTGATGAACATTATACTAGCAAGACTTGTGGATGCTGTGGATATATTAAGAATAATCTTGGTAGTGCAAAAAAGTTTAAATGTGACAAATGTGGTTTTGAGATTGATAGAGATCATAATGGTGCTCGAAATATACTTTTAAGACATTTGAGTCAAGGAGACTTGACGCTGGGACCTACCCTACTCGAATGAATAGTTTACTAACTTTTTCATTTGTTTTATAACCATGATGTAATTTTATCACAAATGATTGGTTTTTTTGTAGAAGATAGCAGTGGAAGTATAACATATATTACTGAAAATATAGTTGGTAATACACATGAATTAACAGATAATGAGAATGATAATGAACGAAATATAAGACCAAGATTTAGATCAAATGATGATAATTCAATAAATAATCAAATAAAC